CCAAGGTAGCTCCTCAAGGTTTATGGACTTTGAGCTGGTGCTGCAAAAGAAAGAGGAAGTCCCATTCTGCTAGTGGGCATAATCGTGTGATGGCACATTAAACTGAGCTAGGGAACTGGTCCATGTTAAAAACTAACCTGGAAAAGTAGACCAGAGACTAGAATTCAAGTTCAAACTTCTTTTTTTTTCCCTAAGATTCTCCCTCAGTTTTGATGCATTCCATCTCCTCGACAGAAACTCTTTTTGTGTTCCATCCAGTTCAAATGTCTTTAATACCCTATAGGCTTCAATTTAAAACTCCGATGTTGAACTTGAATTTCTCACCTTGGTTGATATAATAGAGGCTTTATTACCTCCACAATAAGGCCCTACCCAAACAATTGCCTTTTTGCAGAAGCAACATCATTACCATTGTGATAAAAAGCAGACGAGAGATTGAAAGGCAATATTGGAAAAAGAGTTTGGGGATTACTCTAGCAGAGAAATGTCTTTAGTACCCTGTAGGCTTCAATTGAAAACTCCTATGTTGTTCCTGAGTTGAATCCTACATTGTTCCTGCTCTGAGTTGAAGCAGCTTTATCCCTGTCTCTCTAAAGATGGTGTGTTTGCTTGGGGCATGGGCTGGTAGAAAGGTACATCTTCAGCTGAGTGACAGCAACAGCTTGATGGTGTCTCAAAGGGCAGGGGAGTGAACACTTGGCATGTTTAAGGACTGGAAGTGTTGGTATGGTTGACTTGTCTCATTTCTCAGGCAGCAGGAGTGGGAGAAAATGATTATGAGCTGCAAAGATGAATGATATTAGCAGGGTAGAGCTGTACAGAGCAATGAAATAGCAATGCTCTTTAGGCTCATGCAAGGAAAGAGAAAGATTTAAGAACAGGACAGGGCACAAACATGGACATGGCATTTACATCTCTCAGAGTTTAGTGTTAAAATGCCATGAGCACACCCTAAATCTGCCACTAAACTTGGATTCCTATCTGAGAAGTCTTTGTTTTCATTGATTCCTAACTGCAAGTTCAACATGAGGGGGAATTCACAAGAGGAAGGTGGAAACTAAGTGCTCCCTGTCTGAAGATCTCGTTTGTTCCTTGTGGTAGAGGAGGTGACAGGATTGTCTGACTAGATATGCATTTCCATGAGAAATTCTGAGTCACGATTAATGTCTAGGGGAGTTTCCAGACACTTTCATGGTGGAATAGCTGTTTCAGAGCTAGAGACTCCAAGTAGATCATCATCTTTACAGCTCTGACAGAGAAGCTCAACAAAGCCCTCAAACTTCTCTTTGTTTGGTTTCCTATCTGTTTCAACTTCTAATTTTCTTCTAATTTCCTTCTAATTTTCTCAAAATGGGCATAGCAGTCCATAGTGGCTCCTGAAGAGCTGTTTTCTTGCTGATATATGCACAGAGCAGCTTTGGATAGTCCCTGCTGAATATGATTGCTCCCTTCATGTAGATGACTTGGGGTGCTCCCATCTATCACAGGATTCTCCTGTTCATCTTTCAGCAGCTAATTGCCTGTTTTTCAGCTGCTACCTCACTGTTGTTTGTGCCCTCATTAGCAGGCTCAGTAGAAAAGCCGAGAAAGTGCTGAACTGCAGAGATCTAGAAGCTCTTTACAGATGCTGATTCTCAAACTCATTTATCCTGTTTCTATTTGCATCCTCTTCCCAATCGCAGACCTATGCTGATATGGATTTTCATGATGTTCATTGGCTGACAAGAACTGAATAGTCATAGCTACCAGCAAGGGAAGCTGAGCACATGTTGAGCAGTTGGTGAGCACTTCCAGATCCATGCATGAAGTGCGGACCAAAATGCTGCAAACAGACATGAAAGTGGGTCTTGTCAAACTTCCCTTGCCTTTCGGTGAACAAACACAGAAGTACCAAACCACCGAGCCAAGTGAAAGCTGTCTCCATGCAGGAAGGCGGCAGCATGTGATGGCCACAGGTTTCTGTTCACCACCCTGTGGCTCTGCATTTTGCATATTATTTCTCATGCAACATGGATGTGCAACATGACCTCCGCATGCCCTCACGTGGTCTCCGTTGTTTCTTTCACACTCTGTGGCTGAGTTTTGATTATTGGGTAACTAACCTCAAATCCTCTGTGCCTGACTGGGCTCAAATAAGGGTATAAATGTGGTTTCTTTCTTTTAACATAACTGATGAGGAAAGGCTGGAAGTAATGACTGAAAGTCACTCGTACATCACTGTGATGTGGTAACTTAGGTCTTTTTGTGGTGCTAAAAGGGCTGTTTTTAAAGTCAGATGGTGCCAGTTACTCATGTGACAGAAGCAGACCACTTGCTCAATTCGGGCTGAAACCAGACTGCAGATTTTCAGTGAAGGGCAGGAATGTGATGGCCAAAAACCACAGCTTAACTCCATGTGAGGTGTTGGAAGAGGCTGCTATGTTCCTGGTGGCGAAGAATCAGCTTGGGTGTCTATGCTTCCCGTTGTGGCTGTTGCAGAGGTTTCTCCACCCAGCTAGAGCATTATAGGGATGCCTTGGGGCAGTCCCAGTGAAGTCTGAGCTCAGCTCTGTGTAAGGAATAAACCCTCCAAAAAATGGGCTTGCAGATAGGATCAGCTCATGTTCACAAGGTGCTGGTGAGCTACCAAGTCTGTGTAAAGTCCAGCCGTGTGCATCTGCGCCTGTGACGTGAGTAATTCGGTGTGCTTTAAGCCATCTGTATGTTGTGGATGGTTGGCTGGTGTTTTTTATTGTTTGGAAAAGTGATTTGGGGAAGACCTTTGGAGTTCGGTATCTAGCATCCATTCCCTTTGTGCACAAGACACTTTTCTGTCAGCAGAACTAAAGAACTGTAGGTGGAGAACAAGCTCCTCCTCTACCCGAGGGATCAGAAATGGAGAAATTTTCTTCCCTCCTTTACCCAAAACAGACAAAATAAGTTAAATAAAGGCCACAAACCTGTTAGTGGTTCTAACACGACACCCTATTACTCAGGAGTCCAAGCACGACACAACTGACTGTTTGCTGTTCTAATGAAGCATTTGGAAATGCAATGCGGTCGCATATCCAGCCTGATTTCAGTACCTGATTAAGCAAGCTACTTACGTTTAGAGGTTTGTAACAAGCTTGAGCACTCTTTAGTACCTGTGAGAGGAAGGGAAAAGCAGAGTTATCTTTGTATCTACACAGCAGAGGATTAAATGACAATGAAAAACAAGCTTTTAGATCTGTCTTCTCAGTGCTCTGGGATGGAAGCTGGCTGGCTGAGGTCGTGTTTGGTTTTTTTCCTGGCTCAGCTGGTCCCTCTGGGAGGGAACAGGAGGAGTTCAGATTCCAGCGATTAAATTTAAGAGACTGGATACTAAGGAGAAAATATTATTCACTTGCAGACTTGGTCGTATTTGGACCTGAGCATCCATGTTAAATCAGAGGAGCTGACCATCCACACTTCCCATATTCGTCCCGTATGAGCAGGGTTTGGTGTCTTTAGGAAGCTCAAACTTTAATTCAGTAAGGAATCCAGCCTCTTGAGAAGCTTAAAAGTGAGGCATTTCCACTTAAGCTAGTCACCTAGGGGTCCTTTCCATAGTCCATGGTGAGATGCCTGAAATATTCCCATGAAGGATAAAGCAAGTTTAGGCTTAGAGATAAATATTGCAACACAGGAAGACTGAATTTCACATGTAATTTGTGCAGATGAGGGTAGAGTTGAAGAAGCCTCATAGTAAGTCACCAGGAGCTAGTGGACATCAGCGCTTCCTAGAAATGGTGCAAATATGCCATTTATGTCTCTATTAGTAAATGAACAAGACCTAGTCCCATGGCCAGATGACTGTGGTATAACCTACAGTCATACAGCTATTAATCAGCATTACATACAGCTTTACAGTCATACAGCTTTCATCCTCAAAACAGCATGATTATGTGCAAACTGCCCATTTCAAATGGTCCCTGGCCCACATCTGAGAGCCTGCTGGAAGAGCATGCGCATTGAAACTGCGCCGAAATCTGTGCTATCAACTTAAATGTTTGCAGCATCACCCATTATACTCATCAGCTTACTATTGTAAGCATAGTTTTTAAGAATGCACTGCAACTAGGCTATGAATAAACATGGACAGAGCATTTGCAGCGCCCAGATTTTATTGTCTTGCTTCACAATGTTGAAAGAATGTTGAGGATATTTATTTATGTATTTATTTTTCTCTGACCGCTGTATTTTCACCACCTGGGCTTTTCCCATTTTAGTCCATATTAATCTCCTATGACGTGTTATTAGCTGGTGTTCACTTCCTCTGATATGCTTCTTTTGGGAGGTAGGGCTGGAAGGCAAGAGGAGGAAGTTACTGTTTTTTTTCCACATCATTGTGTTGTTGAGTTGTTTTTTTCTCTCTCCCTCTTTTTTTTTTTTTTTCTTTTTTTTAAATGCTGACACTTCCATTTTAGGCAAGCTGCAGCAGTTGTGACACACGACCAGGAGTACACAGTCCTACTCAGAAAGGAGTAACGCCAGAACCCTGGAGAGCTGGGTGCCTGGCCATGGCTCTGCGGCTCCGTATGATGGCTTTTAATGCCAAAAGGTGCAGACTCAGGCACCGGGGCCAGAAACTGGTGAGCGAAATGGGAATAGACATGCTGCTTCATCAGTTGCTGCTTTGGACTTGAGTGATATTTCTTCTGGAAGCATGGATCTGGCGCTAGACAGGTTTAAGGCAGCTATCAAGCTTAGGATCTTACCAGTCATGTGGAAAGACATCATGGTCCGTGTGAGAAGTTCTTCATATGGGAAATCAGGAAAACGAGGCTGTGGCTTAGGTGGACTTCTGTGACCCCATCTCGTGCTGAGTTGCTGGGCTTCTGCTTCCTTGTGCAAAATTTCTGTTATTTTTTCGGGAGGCAGCAAATGCAGCTCTCGACACATGCTGTCTGGAAGAAGAAAGCTCTCACTGAGCTTTGAATCCACTGGTAGGTGGTTTATCCATGCAAGAAGTTTAAATGTATATTTTTTGTTGTGTCCAGGACATGTGCACGGCTGAAGCAACCGCATCTTTGCTCCAAGCAGAAGAAACCTTCTCAGCATGCCTGGCACGGATAGATGCCCTCATCCTCAAGCCTTTGCTCCAGGCAGGTAGGTCAGACAAGACTATATTTTATTTATTTATTTATTTTGTCTCTAATTCTTTTCTGTGAGTCACCTTTCTGGTACATTTATGAGGAGTATTACAGTTGAAAACTGAGGACTAGATGAGGACTTACTGGAGGCTGATTTACAGCAGTGATATGTAGAATTACTTCATTTAAGACAGTGAGATCTTGAGGTCTCATGTGATCTTCCATGCAAGCCTAGGTTCCTGTTGTTTTTAGAGGTTAATCTAGATTCTGACCAGTGTAAGCAAAAATATATTTTGGGGAAGATCTCAAAATTTTCCTCCAGCGCTTGTGCCTGACCATGAGACTTAGCCCTGCCTGCAAGAATGGAAAGCAGAAGGTTTTAGCATGGGTAGCCTTGCAATTAGGTACAGGGACTCAACACAAAATAATCACTTCCCTCTTCCCAGGGCTTATTTTCCCGTAATACCACATGTATTTCTCTTTGGCACGTTGGACTGAGTGCTAGATTTGGGCAGTGTCTTCTGTGATTTCTTGACATTTCAGCACTTTTTTTTTTTAAATTTTCTATCTCTCCTTGCCCCTGCCATCTCTTCCTCAAAGAGCCTCATGACCAGAAAGGAAAGGAGAATTTTAAACTGCTCCTTCTGCTGAATGATCGATTTCAAGCTCTCTGGAACTTCACGGAAGAAAATTACCGGATGCTCAAGCAAAAATGCAACGCTTCTGAGTCATTCTGCATCCAAGACTTTTACACTGTCTGGAAAGGACACCTGTTTCTAAGCCTCTACATTCAGTAAGTACAGAAACATTACGGACTAACATAAGAGACCCAATTTACTGCCTCTTCCTACTAATTCTGGTAGGCTTATGGAAAGCTGTTATGTTTAATTTGTTCAGTACTGTTCATTAGCCTTCAGTCACTAAGCAAGGAAGCAGATGAATTCAGTGCATGGGGTAAATGCTACTGATTAAGGGATTTGTGTAGGAACATCTAATAGGTAGTCTCTTTCTATCTGCAGCTGTTTTGGAAAAGGTGTTAAAAATGGGATTTTCTTTCTTTGTAAATATTTTTTTGGCAGCTTAAAAATACAGGATGAACAGGTTAACAATTTGTGATTGTGGAAATTGAGAGCCAAGTCTTGGGCTGTGATCAGGAGCAGAAAGGCAGGTACAAGGAGGCTTATAGGTTTTACAGGGGTGAGAATAGGAAGATGTGGGCAGACATGGTTAATAAACTCATTTTTATGATGCTTATTGCATTTGGGGAATGGGTCTGATAGAACATAAAGATCTTGTCCCACAGTTGACTCGTATTTCAACTGACACAAAAGTGGAGCTTATCTGGAGGAGATCCCCTTTTCCCTCATTTTTGAAATGTTTTTTTTCTTAAAAAGACTAAGTGCTCGATTCTATGCACTTCTGCTGATCCAGTCTGTGCAGTCCTGATTTTACTATGTCTCATACTAATTGGAGTGATAATAGCAAGAAAAGACCTTCCTTAAGGAGATGAAAATTAGCAATAAATAGTTAGATGTAATAATTAATTTGGACAGAATACGTGACTTGTGCAAAATCACTGTTGGACAAAGGCATGATATTTGTTGACAAAATATGGCTGGATCTCCCTCTAGTGTGAGACAAAATATATTGACATGAAACACATTGCCTAGAACTTACCAAGAGTAATAATGACCTGATGCTTCGATTGCAAACGGAAAAAATTAATACATCCAATGCTGGTAAGCTCAACCTTTGGAGGGTTCTTTTCCAGGGTAATTGCACAAGATGACTTCTGCTTGTGCTAAACAGCAGGAAGATTTAGACTTCCTGTAACAAAGCTGGTGTAAACGGTCAATGAAGCAGTTAAGCTACAGAGATGGTGTAAGCAGAGGGTACAGTATCTACACCCCTTGCAAAGGCTGAGCTGGCCATGTTTTCAAAAGATTTTGCTCCTGCTATTGCTTAAATCTTGTAGATTTGCATCTCTAACTCTGTTCATGCTTGTTATTTTTTTTTAACAGATATTTTGTCACTTTTGCAAACTACGTTGTAATCCACGGCTTTGAACATGCTACAAAGAGCAAAAGGTCAGTGGGCTGAAAAGCACTTATTTAGCAGCTGACACGAATACAGTAATGTTGTAGACAGGAAAGAGATTCCAAAAGAGCAAACATCAAGCTGATCTGTGAGTTTGAGCCTAGCAGGAGGGAATGATCTGCAGGGAAAATGTGGGCTAAGGAGCTAGAATGGAGTAAGCAGCACTGAGCACTGCCTGGTCATCATTTCAACCAACTGCTGTTCCTCTGAGCCAGTCTCTCCTGCATTCTGCCAAGATCCTGGACCAAATGTTGAAAGGTTTCCCCTGCAGTTCTTTCCTCCTCTCTTCAGCCATGCACAACTTGAATCTTTTGTTGGCAGATAAGTTTGCAGCCTATGTACATCTGCTAAGCAAAACACATGCAAGGAGGGGGAATGGGGCTCTGGGATGCATGCATGGCAGATATTGTAGAGATAATCTTGTAATACTGGGATGCATGCATGGCAGATATTGTAGAGATAATCTTGTAATACAAGGGCTCCCACATTACAGGGCCATGTCTACTTATTGATCATGTGAATACTAAGAGAGTGACCCTGAACCTATGGCCAGTGTTTGTCAATGCAAAAGTCTGTTAACTGGTCACTATCTAGGCTTCAGAAGAGATGTGTTTGGCAGGTCTACCTGAGCTCATCCTGATGCCTCACTTTGTTGTTGATGATAGGCGCCTCTGGGAATTGATTCACCCCATCTGACTGTAGATGCCTCAGCTAGGATAGGTGCATTGTGCTATAAATTTGACCATTTCTCTGCCTTGCCTGTAAAGGAATCCTGGAGTGCCCAGCTCACATGAAGGTTCCCAAGGCCAGTGTTTGGTCAGATTGAGCTTATCTGCATGGACACATGTTTTGCTGTAGAGAAACTGAGCCCAGGATGACTATGGCCAGGGCAATGCTGTGCTTGTGCCTTGCTGCAAAGAAGAGCCTGGCTGCTGTTGAAGCATGGAGTATCCCTGAGCCACCTTCTTATAAGCTCCCCAAAGCTTGGCTTGCACCTCTGGATTGAGAATAGGAGCCAAATTGGGTTTTACTTCACCATTTTTAGTTGAGTGCAGTTGTATCAACATCTCTTTCCCTTCTTGGAGTCATTCTGATGGTTTGCTCACAGGAACACCAAGCCCTCTGAAGAGGCTAACAATTGCATGGAAATAGCTTTTCCGTAAAAGAAATTTCCACTGCCTGTGGTCAGAGTCTCATGGTTCATTTCTCAGCAATTGAAAGGATGAGAGCTAGAGATGAGTAGATTTGCAGTCACTCTGAGTCACTCTTATGGTGTGCAAAGATTTATGGAAGTTATGCTATATTCTGCATATCTCATAGTGCAATTCCTATTTGCAAAGGGTTCAGGTACAGATGCTGAGTGGATAGAGCTCTATTTGACTTTTTTGCCTTGTTTGTGTGTATTGGTGTGAAAATATTTGCATAACTCTTGTCTTGCTCTTTGAGGTCTCTCTATACTATGTCTGGGAGGGAGGTAGCTGTTCATGTTTGGAGGCAAAGGGGTAGAAATCCACATAAAAACTAGTTAGGGAACATTTTTCTTAATTTGGAATCTTGCAGTGAAGCCTGGAAGCACCATAAGACAGTACTGAAACAATTCTTCACAGACTTCACCTCCGAGTCCTCCATGTCTTTGGCCTTATACACTGTACTTCACAAGCCAATCCGGGATCATGTTGAACGACATGTACTGCTCCTTACTGAACTGAACGAGGCACTGAAAGAGGTAAGAGGCTATATATGATGTTGCTTGAGTGCCTTAACTTCATATCTGTTGCAGAGCTCTGGGGCTTTATGATGGTGAATGAAAAGACTGCCCTCTTGGTGCATGCCTGTAGGTTGAAAACACTTCTGGACTGAAGGAAAATTCAGATTTATGTAGCCAGTCTAGACTGAATGCAGGTAGCTCATCCCCTCTCTGAGGATTTGGAGCTGCTGAGGCTTTTCTGTGACAATCCAGATTGCACAGCCATGCCTGAAACATTTCTTAAGTCCTGCTTTCCTTTTTTAGGACCCTGAAAAGGAATTGGTTACCAGTGTTATCAAGGAGTATGTGAAGCTCGAGTCCTTCATCAGCCAAGTCCTAGATGAAGCTTGTTTTACCAAGGCCCTATGGAAATCCCTGGGCTACAAATTCACGGTAGGTCAGACGTACAGGTGATGGTTTGCTGGGAGTCTTCTTTGGTAGTCTTGTGCTTCTGCCTACTCAAGGTGGGGAAATTGTATACGGATTCAGGGTTTGGTTTGGTTGTCCTTGGAGAGTTCAGAAGTTTTGGAAAAGCCTTCTGGTTACTAAGTACTTTAGAAGTCGAGCCTGCTGTCACTGTGCTCTATGTCATTAGTCAAATATCTTCTATGGGAAATGGTATCTTGAGTTGCACATTCTTTTTCAGATCCTGATGTTTCTCTTTGGGAATGCAGGAGCTATCTGTTCTACCTCTGTGTTTCCCTCTGCAGGATGTGCTCTGTGTTCCCGAAAGACGGCTGCTGGAAGACAGCAGAAATCTCCCTATTTCTGCCAGCACGAACCGGTCGGACCGAATTCTGCTCTTTGATGATGTCCTTGTGCTAATTCAGGTAAGTTTTGAACCTTTCAGGGTACTTGGATAGATGGAAGAGGAATGATGCTGAAATTAAGAACTGTTTAATGCTGAAACTGCACCAAAGCCTGGATGTTTGCAGAATCCTGTCTCAGATCCTTCTATCTGCGATTTCCACTAGAGAATAAGAGAAGAAATCTCAATGAAGTTGGAAAAGGGGAACACCCATGTAATCTTTTCCCCAGTAAAAACATGTGATTCAATAGCCACAGGCACCTTCCTAATAACCCATGCCCACCCCTGTATAGGAATCTGCTGATTTCTGCCCTTGTGTATTCAAAGGGGTACTGATGGGTTAAGAATCTTATACTGTAAGCATCATGAGCAGCAATCGTGACTAAATCTGATGTTTTGTGGTTGAACGTGCTAATGGCATGGGACCTAGAGTTCATGGTGCAGGTGTTCTTGGGGCTATTTCAGGAATTTGAGGCCTGGGTGTGGAACAGACAGGGAGTGTCTATGTCTGTGGACAGCTAGATAAGTAATATATGTTCAAAGCTGTTCTACAGCATGCGTTAACTGAGTCCAACTTGGCTTGCTTTGACTGACAGCTCCTTAATGCTGTAGTGTTCTTGATAGGAGCTAGTCACCCCAGGCTCTCTTTTAGTTAAGAGGAGAGAAAAAGGCACTTTCTGGGTGTGGTTTATGTGCTCTGTTTTGGATGCCTGCACTTAAGATGAGCCGAGTCATGCCCTCAGCTCTGTTGACTCGAGCAGAAACTGAGGATAACCAGCTCACATGGAGATATCTGCGTTGTAGTCATCTCCGTTCAGTCAACGCTTACCGCCCACTATGTCTCATCTGCTGCTAGGACTGTTATTAAAGCTTGTGGAGGCATAACTGGACTGGTATGGACCTGGCTGGCTTGGACAGCAGAAAGGGGACTGCCAAAAAGGACTGCAGAGTTGGGGGGTTTGAATCTTCCCTCAGATCACTGTGATCTCTGAGGTTCTTGCCAGTCCTTGAGCTTGTTCGAACACATCCTTGCAGTCAGCCGTACTATAGTGTAGACACTTGGTATTTAGACATAGAAGTGTGATATGACATTAATGTAGTCTTTACCTAATATCCCAAACTCTTCAGTTTCTTCTGTTTGCTGTGCTATTGGACCTTTGCATAGCAGTGGCATTTGAAGTCTAGATTCAAGTCAGAACTTGAGCAAAATTTAGGCCTTCTTTAGGCCATTTAGGTACCAATGATGATGCTGATGTGTTGCTGTGTGATCAGGAAGAAATTCTTTCAGAAATAGATGTCATCTAAAAAGGGATACAGGAACAAAAACATAGAACCATGGCTTTAAGGACCACCACTTAAAAGCTGATAATCTAAGAACTTTCTTCTCCTGCATTCCTTCAGTCTCTGAGCTCTGTCAGTATCACATTCTGATGACATCCAGACCTCAGAGGAGGGAATTTGAACAAGCAAGCTGCCAATCTTGCTCCAGTGTTCAACAGATTGGTGGAGTGAAAGATAAGTCTGATATTACATCAATAACAAGGAATATTTTCTCCCTTTCTGGTTCTCTAGGGGAACAGCTTTCAGAGTTTTGATCTGAAGCTTGTATGGGTAGACAAAAACTGCAGGGAGAAGTCAGCTCCTGGAGCGTAAGTAAAATATTTCTACTTGAAGGAGAAAGTGTTCAGCTTGACTGTGGAACTGACGGAATGATTCTTGCCTCATCTCCTTTCCACTAGTGAAGGGAGTTGGTCCTGAGATATTGGTAGTCAGCCTGCCTCTCAGATGGGATTACGGCAGCTCAAACTTGCATTGTTTATGCTTACTGACATCTTGAAATCAATCAGTAATGAAATGCTTTTGGCTGCAGAGCTGAGGAACAAAGCAGAATTGATTAGTTGCATACTTTTCAAAAGAAATTAAAAAAAAAAAAAAAAAAAAAAAGGACTGTGGAAGTATTATTAGCTGCTTCTGAAGAGGAATAAGAGGAGCAGCCAACAGCTCCTTGGCCAAGAAAGAGATGTTCTCATGGTCTCTCTCATGTTCTTTGCTTCCCAGGCATGTTCTCCGTATCGTTACACCAGAAGAAACATTCTTTTTGTCTGCCAAAGATCCTCAGATGAAGGTTGGTTGTGTTCAGGGCTTTCCTGATTCTCCTGCAAAGCCATGTACTGCGCACTGAGATGGGTTTATGGCACAGAGGTGCAGCCCCATTTTGTATGCAGAAACATTGGCTCCTGAATGGAAGCTAAAATTGTATTAGCTATTAGTGTCGAGGCTAGTGATTATGGGAATTAGACTCAACTGTTTGGGGAGTTTGTTGCCTTTTTGCAATATCCAGTTTGCAGGACCCAAGCTAATTCCTCCTACTGGTGCTGCAGATTTGCACCAACACAGCTGGCCAAAGACAGCAGAGGAGAACCCAACCTTTTGCTGCTTCTGAAATATCTCCTCCTGGGACACATCTGGCTTTATTCACTTGTTAATCCATCCCTCCTCCTCTTCCTCAGGCTGTTTGGCAGTGGAAGCTGAACCAAGCCATCCGCCAGGCTCTCAACGGGAAACGTGACTTCCCACTGTGGGGCAAGACCGGGGAAGGCACCGAGCCTCCGTCCTGCCGCTTCTTCAGCTACGTCTTCAAGCTGGAGGGCAAGTTCAAGAGCGCAACCTATGAGGGCGAGTGGCACTGGGGAAAGCCACATGGCAAGTAAGGAGCCCTTTGTACCTCCTCCTTTACCCACCTACTGCCTGGATCCAGCCAGTATAGATCCAGAATAAGGCTAATTCTGAGAGTTTCTGTGTGCATGGGGTGCTCCATCCTGGTTTGAGGGCTTGGACCATAGACCATGGGCTGACAACTTCCCTGGGTGTGCCGAGCAGTCTGTTTCCTGCCTGACTTGTTTCCCTGGGGAGTCAGTCTAGTATGGAGGACAAATTTGGGAGGCAGTTGAGATGCATCATCTTATTTTTAGGGCTTGGTAAATGTATGAGTCCCAGCATGTGACGTATTGAGTGTCTCTTGGTACTAGGTTATAGAGTAAATTTTGGAGGTTATCTCTAATAATGTGGTAATGATCACATTGAAGGCATTGCATTTGCTTGTACCTGTAATTAGACTTGAGATAATGTTCAACATCAGGATCTTAGCCTGAGGCATAAAATCCTACCCTCTGGATGACATATAAATAAATAAATATCTTGGCTTGCTAGTGAGGGAAAAGCTTTCTCCTATTCTATCAAAAATGATTTTAACATCCATACCTGTAGCAAGGGAAGAATTGTAAATGAATAAATGAATAAAGTCTAATATAAAAAAGTTTCTCATATGCAACTTTGGAGAGCATTAGACCTATTCAATAAACTTCAACTCAACCATTCAACTCAGGCTTATGAACAAATCCTTACAGAAGGGCATGGCTTCTAATTTAAGGTTAAATAGCCCCATCTACTTATGTCCTCTTGCATAAGTAGAGCATAGTCTCTCTTTTCCTGCAGAAGTCTGAAATATGAGTGACGTCCTCATACATCCACGCGTGATCTGGGAGTTTTATACTTCCTGGGTTTTACTTTTTTGCTTCAAAAGTATGTAGAGACTTGGTTCTAAGAGACTTAAGATATTCAGAGTATCCAGAATCTAGAAAAACTTAACAGGAAGTCTTCTGTGGAAGAGCTTGTGCTTTATTTTCTTTTACCATCAGAAAGAAAATATATAAAGAAAAAATTTATACCTATTTAGGTATAAATAGGTATAAAACAGGTGTTTGGGTAGAGCTTTTTCTGGGCAGTAATCACAACTACCTAATTCATATCAGTAGTTGTGGCTCTCCAACAACTGTTCATTCTTCACCTTCCTTCTCGCTACTGTTGATGCCTTGAAGTGGAAGTAGATGAACTTTGCTGACAAGTAGCTTAAGCCATCTCCATGACTGGAGCAGGCATTTATTCTGGCTAGCTCTCCTTTGCTCTCCATTCATAATAGCAAAGTAAATTGAGATGCATAAGTCCACTTAATTGAATCTAATTGCTTCCCTGTATCCTAATAACAAAACCCAGTCTCTTGGCCCTTTACCTGTTTTGTGTGGGTGTTTAAAGCAACAAACTTGGCGAAAGTCATTCTGATGCGTCACAGTTTTGGTTCTGCACTGGTTAGTGTTGTCTTTGGATGGGGAATGTGTAGGGAGCTGCCTGCATCTGTACTGATGCAAGAGTTTAATCTGCAAGGGGATGCATGTGGAAGGGAAGATAGGGAGGAAGGAAAAGCTCATTCACGAGCGGACGTGTCCATGCAATAGTTTGACCATCATGTTGACCATTCCAGTCTCATTGTTGCACCATTGCCTTGTGTTATTATGTCTACAACCCACATACAAAACAGATGGGAAGATATGAGTTATTTAGGTTAATGGTCACCTATTTTGTGTTCAGAAAGCCTGGTATAAGAAAGTCCCAGGCAACGCTGTCATTAATTTGTCTGTGGGGCTGTGCACTGCTGAAGTTTTGGCTGGTTTCATCACGCACTGTGCTGTAGTTACAAAACAATTGTATTTATTGTTCTAAAATAATGATGCAGCAACACTGCAAAATGCCTTTGAGATTTGTCAGTTTGGAAGAAGATTCTATGAGCTTCTTCCTTGACATGAAAACCTGGTGGTACTAAACTACAGTGGATCCAAAGTCCCAGTGATGCCTGGAGATCTTTTCTTCCTCTGTCCCCCGAGGAAATGTCTTGACATGAGTAATCCCTGGGTTGTGCCTTTGAGTGTCTCCTCATGTTGAAACTGCAGCTGTTGCTGGCAGTCTCTCCATATAATACTTGCATCAAATTGCAGGGGGACACTGAAGTGGCCTGATGGACGGAACCATGTTGGAGACTTCAAAGAGGGGTTGGAGCATGGGTAAGCCTTAAAAAAAAAAAAAAAAAAAAAAAAAAAAGTGTTTATTGCTTCTGAAATACCATAATGAATGGTTCTTATTAGAGATAAAGTGTTATTTTGTAGGGTGGTGCTTCTGGTGTGGAATCTGTCTCACTCAGACATGACTGCTTCTATCTAACTATTTTTTTGCAGTCAATGGAGAGAAATATTCACTGTTACAGTGAAATTCATCTAACCTATTTTAAAAATGTGCTTTAGGCTGAGTAAGAACTAGAGTGTCTGGATTGCTAAAGCAGAGGGAGCAGGCTCAGATGATATTTCAGATGGAGACTTCTCTATTTTTTGTATGAATTTTGTCATGAGTCTCTAAATCTGGGTGAATTTATTCACGTGAAACTTCTTGAAAAAGTTATTCTTAGATAACTTTAAAAACTTTTTTTTTAATTGGTAATTGCTTTAATGGTCTAACTCAGTCCCTTAAATAGGGAAGAGGGGAAAGAAGGAAAAAAAAATTGCTGCAAGTAGTTCTGTAGAAAGAAGCAGTGAGAAACCCTGCATCTCACAAGAAGATGAGCCAGAACAAGCTCTTCCTTGGAGCAAGTCAGTAGACATCTGTGAATCATTTTGGAGGTAGAGCTGACCTTAGGTACAAAAATATATTTGAGAATGTGGAAGGTCCTTCATTTTTATATTTCTTTAATGACAATTGAGTTACTTTTCACCTATGCCTGTCTCTGTGCTGATATCTGCTGTATGCACCCCTTAGATTTGGAATATGCCTTGTCCCACGTCGGTCTGAAGACCGGTATGACTGCTACAAGTGCCACTGGTCCCAGGGCAAGATGAGAGGCTATGGAATCTGTGAGTAAGTAATGCACGAGGATGGACTCTGGCAGAAGGGAAGTTTCACATGCTTGAAGGGTGAAACAGTCCCACCACACTGGGGAAAGCCCAATTAGAGTGAAAACCAGAAGGTAACTCAGGCCCTGGCAGCTCATGCTTTTCCTTTTGGCCTTTTCTGATTTTACTTTGAAGATGGATAGAATGGCTTTGTCAGAAGCCTCGAGTTCCCTCAACTTCACAGTATTAAGACCTTCTCTACAAGCTGTATGCGTTGCAGCTGCCTTACGCACAAACCTCTTTAGGTGAGAATTCAGTTTTACATTTTTGCTTGTACTTGTAGAGCACAGAGTTCATGTATCATCCAGCTGGATGGTCTTAGTGGAAGACAGCTGTCCCTCCCTCCTGGCTGGTAATGCTGTCTAAACTAAACCTGGTGCAGAGTAGCTTCCCTAGCGATAAATAGCTATGACTCTTGAGATAGGGTCAAAACTCCTCCAAAACTGCAGAAATTGGACTGTTTCCCCCAGTTTGCTTGGATTTGCTTTTTTGATCACTCAAATTCTGTGATTAAACCTAGAATAGGATTTATTTTAAGACATACAGTTCAAGATTTTCTTATTTATTCATCAGAATGCTCCTGGAAACACCTTCTTTTGCACACTTGCCTTTCAAAGTGCTCTTGGGAGTTTGGAGGGAGTCCCATCTGTACAGAAATGCACTGTGAGATTATTGTGGTGTCCCAGCCTTAGCCTCTTTCTCCTGCCTGTTTAGAAGGCCAGAAGCTGCAGTTGAGGCCTCTTGGGCAGGTTGTAGACACAAACCAGTTCCATTTGCAGCCTACAGGGTTAGCTGGACATAGCAGTTTCATTTGGCTTATGCAACAGTGAATATCTCTTGTCTCATCTTTGATTAGCTCACACATGGCTTGGATTCAAACGTGTAGACAAATGCAAAGACTCTTCTATCCATCATTACCAGGCTTTTACTGAGCCAACTGTGGCAAATAAAAGCGCACAACCCAGTTCCTTACTCAAGTTCCTTATCATGGGGATAGGCCGTGGTCATTCCGTGGTCATGGTGTGCTCCATAACTATGAATCAAACTCAAGAGTATGGGACATGTTCCGAAATCTGTTGGGAACACTGAGTCTATTGAGCAATGCTTGGTACATATTGATTGCTTATAGGTAATGCTCTGTATAGCATTTGGGTTACTGATTACTTAACCACATAACGGCCTAAGCCAAGAGAGCAAATGTTAACAGACCAAGTGAGGGACTGAAGGATCACTCTTTAAGTGCTCTTTGTAAAGTCTAAAATATTTGTGTGTTGTTCAAAGTATAGCTTCTGTGACCATTGGTGCTATATAAGGTGTTTATATTCCAAAAATACTGGTAGTGCCAGGAATCATAAGAACATAGAGGGGGAAGAGGAGCTCAAGTGTTGCACTTGCACTAGTGTCTCTGGTTTCAGATGTGGGAATGGGTCAGTAATTATTGATGACAGCTCCGTTTACCATAAGCTGTTCAAAATGTCTAAAACTAGCACGGGCAGAGCTCTGTGGAGCTCTTTCCAGGTGGATGATCTCAGGAAAAGGGGTCATAGAAGGTAAGCATAGAAAGGTCAGTTTTCATCCAATCTACTCCCTTTCTGAATAAACCAATCGCCATTGAGACTTGGCTGGCAAGAGGTCAAGAACTGGGTTAACTCTCCCAAAGTAATTGCAAGTGTTAATTATGGGGCCTTTCAGGCTTCTGAGTAATGTGTCCTCAGATAATGTTGAAAGCAGTGTGTGGAATGGCCAGCTCAAGTGGTGCATATTCTTATTAGTGAATGACTGGCGGCTCCAGAACTATCAGACAAATAATTTTAATATTTAATATTTATAATAAATATTTAATATTTAACAAGCAGATGAACCCAATCTAATCAGCTTCCTGACTTCTTGCTTCATTAGTATCTCTCCAATAGTCATTGTCTTAAATGACATCTGTATCTGCAGGTATGGTAATGAAATGGTCTACAAAGGCTACTTCAAAGATGATATGCGTCAAGGATTTGGGATTCTGGAGAGCACCGCAGCTGATCGTCCATTTAAATACACCGGACAATGGGAAAATGACAAGAAGAATGGATACGGAGTCTGGGATGACAAAAACAGGTAACGAGGGTATGGCTCAGAGCTGGCTTGAGGTGTCTGGCAGTTTGCCTCTCCATTTGGAGGGGAAGGACTGCTGTTTTCTTAGGGGGCATCTGGTTGTTACGGGGAGGAGATGTTCAGACCCTTGTAGGGGTTTGAAATCCTTGGGAAGCGTTACCTGAACTGGGTTTGTGCAGTAAGTTTTGCATGGAGCATTATGTTGACTAAAGATAGCTTCAGAAGCTGCTATGTAAAATCAAATAAGATGTAATAAAACAGAGTAAAACATTAATTCCCTTTTTGCTGCATTCCAGAGGAGAGAGGTACATAGGGACGTGGCAGGATGATCACAAACATGGACAAGGCATTGTAGTGACCCAGTCAGGAGTCTGCTATCAGAGGACGTTTCATGCTGGTAAAATGGTGGTGAGTACTCATTTCTATATCAGAGGGACATGGAATTCCCCTCAAAGGGCAAGATAAGGCTGAAAAATAGAAAGCAAGATTTAGGCATTGATGTTTTATCGCAAGAATGCTTTTTGAAGAACAAAGTCTAAATTAAATCATATGCTCTATGTCACCTTGTTGAGCTTTTTGTGCAGTTAGGAACTGGACATGAGACTACCACTTTTCTTTGTTTATGGTGGGATATGTTGTAGCTTTGGTTGTTCAACCATTAGGTCACAGTTATGGAGTGGGTCTCCTATGCGAGTGTATATGGTACTACATCTGCCTTGGAGATTATCAAGTCTTTGCTTTGCCAAGGCGGACTTACCAGTGTCAAGTCTTTTCTCCATCTGAATGAAAATTGATATGTTGGTGTGCAAAGCAAAAGGCATTGGTATGGTTAGAGGTGGCTGAGGAATAAAAGGATTTTTTTCATGAAAAAATACTTGATTAAGAAAAATATATATATTCTCCCCACACACAAAATTAGGACAAAATGGTTAGCGTGGAAACTTCGTCAGAAGGATTTTACATAAATTCTATCTGTAGAGGACCTAAATAAAGCTTTATTTTGGTTTGTCAGCTGCTGAAGGCTCCTTTAACTTCACAAGGCTTCTGGGTAGAGAGCAGTTGCTTTAGCTTTCCTAGTGGAAAATTGGTATGGCCAAGACACTTGCCTTGGAAACTTTAATTTTTGCCAGAGAGGGCACTTTCCATCAAGAAAACTATTTCAGAGGAAAATGTCCTACAGTGATTAAAAATAACCAAATTTTTTGGCTGATATAGTTGCATCTGAACCTTTAGACCTGAATCTCAGGTCAAGCCCTGACAAGAAGCATCTTCCCTCTTGATATAAAGTACCCTGTGTCTACTCATCATCTCTGCAGTCTTCCTCTGCAATGTCTACTATAAGCAGCTGTGGGAGTTGAGAAGTAATGGAAAGAGGCATTTTGACAAGTGTTTCAGCACAGTTCATTAAGATCAGGTTGACTGCACAAAAAAAAGAGATTCTACATGGCAGCTCGCTTCCTCTTTTCTCTTATTCATCCTGCAAAACATGACACAATTGGCTGTAGTCACCAAAAGGTCAAAGGGAAGGTCACTTGTTTGATCTGTGTGGTGGTTCTTGGTGCCTCTTGTTTTAGCAGCAAGCTGTGCTTAGTTCCTTTTTCTAGGGAAATAAATGTAGTAATATTCTTCTATGAAATTGTCTGATTGCCCTCTACTACTACTTCATGCGAAAATGCCTAATTGGTTATCTCTAGAGCACCTCTCTGCTCTTGTCCTGAGTGTTGCTGATGATATTATGTTTGGCTTGCAAAAAGGTTTTCAGAGTCTGTACCTCATAAATGTTCCCATAAGCTGTTTCCCGATGGGGCAGAATTGGTTGGAAGTCCATGTCATGCTTAAACTGTGCTTTCCAACATAGGGTTCTGGGATTCTGCTCTTGGAAGATGACTCTGTCTATGAAGGAAACTTCACAGAAGATCTAACATTCGTTGGCAAGGTGAGCGTTTCTTTCATCTCAGCTGTTCTGTACCACTTCTAGCTTTCCAGAAGGCTGGGAGATTCTTCTTCAAAATTCATATCCTTCCCCTCCAATTTCCCTTGAGTCCCTGGAAATATTTTTTTTGTATGTCTGTCTTGTTAAAGCTGTAACTGAGAAATTTCAAGTAACATGGAAGTGAGGACTTTGGACGTTATTTTGATTTTTATTTAAGGGTTTTGGTTTGTTTCGTTGTTAGGGAAGTTACAATGTTTTGCAGATACAGTTTGGGATTTTTGTCTGTTCATAAAACAACATTGCAGCCCTTGTAATAGCTTCAAGCACAGGGAAAGAATGCGTAAATGGAATTGCAGCACCAGTGCTGTGCTAACGTAACTAAGATATTAATATAACTGAGTTAGCTGAAAGGCTTAATTTTGCAATCTGGCCATTGCGCTGGCATGTTGGACGTTTTGCAGTTATCTTTAACAGAAATATTTGGTCAAGATGCTTATAAATTTCCCTACAACAGGGTGCACTAGTCCTCCAGCTTGTTACAGAAATCTATGGCAAGTCTGACAGGAAGTGTGTGGTTGAATCAAACTGAGCTGATGTCAAGATAGATACTTGATGATGGAAAGGATTGTGAGTAATACAAATGAGCACTGTCATTTAGTGATTTGTCATGGGAGGAAGAGTTTGTTGTAGTGTTAAGCTGGAAGATTTAGGGCAGATTTTGCAGAGACTTATTGAAGAGCTTTGATACAACATCCTCCAAAATTAATGTTTGCTTTGAATAGTTAGACTAGAAAAATCTGTTTTTTATCTAAAGCCATGGTGCCTTCTGCTATTACCAATATGAATTTCAGGCTCGTGTTCCAAGCCAGGCTAGTTGCAATATTTGGCTTGGGAAGTAATTTAATTAAAACCTTTTAAGTTTGAATCAAGCTGCTGCATGCCTTCTCCCATTTTGGCCCCAGAGAATTTAGGGTTATTCTTGGTAACAGCAAGCACTTTAAAACTTTTATGGCCTCTACCTGTGAGGCCAAACTTTCATGTGGTTTTAACCAGCAAAGGAAAAACACAGGAGAAATTGAAGCTTCATATGTTCACTCCAGGTTAGAAATAACTACCTTGAAATTTAATCCAGAGATTTTTGTAATGCAGAAAGGATTTTGAAAACTTGTTGAAAAGCGTAATGTAAGAGTCTTCATCTATATCGCTGGGTACTTAGTGGATAGGTGTCCCTCTCCAGAATCTTGTATATGTAAAATCATAGCCAGGATTTCGACCTGTTGCCTCCAGTGATTCCTACCTGAACGATTTTTTGATTTGCTTTGGATGCTGAAAATGTAGAGCTTGGTGCTGGAAATGGTTCTGTTTTAGGAGCTGTGAAAAGAGTCTGAGATCTCGGTCCAGCTTGTTTCCTCTCACTAATGAGATCTTGGCAAAATAACCCTTTATTTCTGTTACAGGGAAAGCTGTCATTTGCCAATGGCTTCATTCTGGAGGGAACCTTTACTAACAAATCAGGCCAAGGCCTTCAGACTCAAGGCATCCTGAACACGTCAAATGAGCAGCTGGATGACAGGATAACCAAAGTGTGAGCAACAGCAGCTGGTTTCCTGGGTTTTGGCTTGTATGTTGAGACTACCTAGAGGAGACTTGGATTAGCCCCTAAAGGGATAAAAACAGAGCTTGCATGAAGGAACTATCTAAAATACTAACAAATAGCAGGAGAAGAGGAAAGGAGAGCAGAGTGGTCAGTCTATCTAAAGACTTCTTTAGAAACATCTGTAAGGGGAACAAAAAAACTGTGATAGGTTCATCCACAAAGCTTTAGGTTGTTGATGTTCCATGCCCGAAAGTCTCTTGCCCCAAAGTACTTTGTTGCCAGGATAATAAGCTTGACTTTTGCTGACCTACCGGTTAAGCACTGCTAAATTTCTCTGCTCCCATAGTTTTTGTGTTGATATCTCTATATATTAACACAACTTTTCATACCTGAAGGTGAAGACAGAGAAAATAGAGGAAGGAGGTAGAGAAGCCTAATGTCATGTCATGTTGTGCAGTCAGTTGGGCCTTGCGGAGTTCCCGGTAGAGAAGAGGTGGAAGGGAATCTACGACCAGTTCCTGGAGTTCATCCAGTCTGGCTGCAAAGAAGAAACAGAGGAGTCTTTCACGGGCTTCCACATACAAACAAGCAAGGAGCTGCGGAAATCTCAGGAATACCTCTTCTGCCAAAGGTGATTATTGCATGCTCTTGTTGAGAGAGAGGATCGCATTAGTGTGGATAGTGGAACATAGTGGTATACATGTGTCTGCCTTGCGTTTCAGTTACGAATTTCTACGTTTTCCACATATTAAGGTGATAATAGCTGTCATTATCTGTATTTATGGTTAGTTGTTTGTTTTTTCCATTTAAAACATACTTTTAAGGGGAGCAGAGTAGAACTCATTTCTTCTAAGAGTCTTATTTCCCACTTGTAGCCACTTACAATAGCAGCTGTATCCAAATACTTTACTGTCTTTAAAAAAAAAAAAATCATCTTAATTGCTTATAACTTATAAATGAAGCCTCATTCTAAATAAAGATAGTCCAACCTAGTCCTGGTAAGAAAGGCTAGTCTGAATGTGGGTGGTAGAATTCCATTTGGTGGTAATTAGGAAGAAAAGCCTTGAGATACAACGGGATAACTCCTTCCTCATCTCTCATCCTTTCAGAGGAGCTGAGGATGCATCCTGGAAGACAGAAGATATTCTTGAAGAGCTAGTCAAGCACCAGGAGCTGGCATCACTACACTGTTATTTAGACAAAGTAAGGATTGAATATCTCAAGGATCCACTAGGATCTACCAGATATGGATGTAGGTCTTCTTGTTTGTTGTTGCTGCAAAACAGTCAATGTCTTTGAGTTTTTTTCTAAATTATGTGTGCAGTACTTGAGAGGAAAGGAGATTATCTTTCTTGGAGACTCATTTTTGTCTACAGCAAATAACAATAAAGCTTCAATCTTGCTTCCTTGTGTACCATAGAATAAACAGCTGCCTGAGATATATAACAAATTTCCATGCAGTCTTGGTGGCTGATTTGCACTCAGCCATTCCCTGAACCACCCTTGGCTATCTCTTGGATATCACAACTTTATATAAATACAGCCGTTTCTACTAAGGGCATTTAAGCCCATTAATGAGAGGAGGATGGAGTTTTGCATCAAAAGTAGACCAAGATTATAGTTGATTACCACTCGACTTGTCCTCCTCTGCAGGCAACAGATGTCTGAGTTGCCTTTGAGTGTTCTCCTTTATTAACGCCAAGGGCTGACTTGCAGAACTTCATTTTTCCTCTTCTGTTGTGCAGGCGCTGAAGTCTTCTCTGCACCCACTGGGAAAGCTGCTGAAGGCCTTGATGATAGCTTTCCAGGCAGCGTATTCTGGGATTGGGGCCAACAGACACTTGCTGACTATGGCTCAGGAGGAAGTCAAGTACTACGCAAAGAAAATATGGGAGTTTTACCAGTAAGTTGAGCATGTTCAGTACTTGCAAGGGATAAGAGCCTAGAGGGCTTGCGAAATAGACTGGTGGAATCATTTCTTAAGGCTCAAGGGCTGCTTTATTTCACACCATGTTTCTTGGGAAACTTGCTGTAGAGCTGTGCTAAATAAAGATAAATTTGTGATAACAAAGCTCATTTGGAGCATAAGCACAGGTGAGGGGCAGGAGGCCTTTGCAGAGGGCTGTGCTGGCTCTACAGATATAGCCCAGGCCAGTGAAAGGAATATGCTCTATATGTCTATTTGAGAGCCTGCTTCATACCTCCAGACTTTGCAGGTGTGGTGTGGGGAGGGAAAGGCACCTTACTGTGCAGTGTCCCTAAGTTTCCTTAGCTGATACTGCTTTTTTTGGTGCAGAAGTATTTCCTCTATTTTAAGGCTTAACACCTTTTGGCTTGGAAATATCAAGACATCTCTTAGCTATCTTTTTAGAGCAGAGAGCTGTTTTAATTAGAGGAATCCTAAGCATCCACTAATGTTCTTGGAATGGAGAATTGGCTTATATAACAGGTCCTGAAAGCTCACCTCCTTTGCACGGGAATACCAGGGGCTGGTGCTCAATGAGAATGCGGTTACGATTACCAGAGTAACCACCCTTTCCTTTAGAAAAGAGAGATTCTTCAAAACACTCATACATTTCTGGAAGCTTCTGCTGCTTACAGAGAATACCCTCAAATAGTGAAACATGCTCTGCTAAAGTATGGCTTTTGGAGCTGGAGATAAAGGATAAGGCTCTGCTAATCCTAGACTCCTCACCCAAGAATGCCAAATTACCTTTGTAATTACCTTTTACTTAAAAATATCTACATAAGGGGGAAAACTAAATGATGATTTTTGCCTTCCAGGGGCTTGCTCTGTCTGGCACTTGAACAGAAAGGCCAGCTGCCCACAAAGTGTGCGGATGGAGAGATGAAGTAGGTGTCATGACGGGCTGTTTAATTTTAAGTTTCCTGGGGCCTATCGGGTGCTTCTAAAATACATTTGGTGCTGCACTGTTCATATTTGTCAGGAGCTGTCTGTACAACTTGGGTTCATTGCCCGAATTTTTCCTCTAAGAGTACAAAGCTGTCAGCATGCTTTTCATGCTTGTCTGCCAGAAGAATGAGAGCAACTTTTTCTTATCATGCTTTGTAGTATAATAAAAGGTGCAGAGAGTCAGATGTGTGTGGGACACAACCTTGCAAGCTACTCTGCACCAACTTGCGTGGGGTAGCATGACTGTGTGAGACACAGCAATACTAGTGCTATTACATGCTTCATTTTAGCTGTAGGAGTTCTGCTGGGATGGACATGTCCATATCAACACTGAGATATAGGCAGGCCTAGAAGTAGAGAGTAGTGTGCAGAAAATTTGGAAGAACTAGAATATATGAGGTTGGTATCCTAGAATAGGAAAGGAGGGATAACTGTGGAAGACCTGGTTTAGGGGGGTTGGGTTGGGTAGATCATGTAATTTGCATCCATCCTCTTGTGAACTGAGTGAATTCAAAGGTTTGAAATGGTAAACAGCTGGAAAATGGCTTGGTCTGATTTCATTTGCACTTCTCATGTAAGAAATACCTACCCTGCTGAAAGAATTCAGAAAGAACAGTTGGAATGAGGTCTCTGGTGCTCCAGGTTTCTCCCAGTGATTAGGGAGGCTTTGACATAGATAGCACTGTTGGAGAAACAGTGAGTGTCCTGTCCTACAATTTAAGATGTGCTTATATCTTCAATTTGTGGACACACACAAGATTGTAATAGGGGTCACTGCCAATTGTGACACTAAACTCAAAAAGAAGAGGGGGCAAAACAGGTCAACTTTGTAATATCAAAGCTCGCTTTTTCACTGTGTCTTGTGTGGCTTCTGCTTTTGGAAATATCAAGATTAAAGACTTTGCTGTATGACACTGCTTCATTTTTCTCTGTTCTAGTGACCAGAAGGCATGCAGTATAGTCCTGCCTCTGATCCTGCCGTGCTTCTACCCCGAGCTCTTCATGCTCTACATGCTCTATCACGAAAGAGAAGATGATCTCTACTGCCAAGGGATTGTGGACCTAAGCCTGTTTCCTGACATCAAGCTGCTAGAGTTTCTGGATGTGCAGAAGTGAGTCACCTTTTTCATCTGTGGATGCATGTCTTAGGATGGGAAGCGAGTATCCAGGGAAAGCTCTAATGGCAGGGCAGGGATATCAGAACATTTTAATTTTTCAGCGTGTGTTATGTCAGCTGTAGAGCTGAGGTTTGTATAGGCTGCAGGAGAAGTCTTGTCATCGAGCGCCTGCAATACTCTGCCTGAAAGGACATCACCAACTACCAGAAAGCTGCTATTATCCTTGTTATTTTTTTTTCTTTTCCTTCACTAAAAATCTTTTGGACTGATTCACAAAACATGGATTTCTTCCAGCTCAGGAGCTATCAGATAAAGATTATTAATATTCCTACTGTCCACCATTTGCTGCAACAGTTGTGGGTGCTCAGTCTGAAGCAAGGGAAAAGGTTTTGGAGCCAGATATTTCCTTCACCCATTTCTGCAGCAAGATCTGCCTCTGGGAGAGATATGCAAAGGTGTTATGGTTTGAACTCGAGGCATATGGTGCTTTCCAACATAGTCTAATCTGTAGCTCAAGGACTTAAGCAGGCTCGAGGTCTGTAGTCAGTTTGGCTCAGTCTAGGTTCAGTGAGATGAACTAAACTCCCACTGATTATTACAGGAACATTTGTGAGCGAAATGGCCAATGAGTCTGAAATGTTACTTTGCTATAGGAAAAATTAATAACAGGAGAAGACTCTGCTTTGAGCACCTACATGCATTTCATGTCATCTTGAATGAGAAGAAAAAAAATAGTTCAGACAAACTTAAGAGTCATATTAAGACTTAAACAGCTTCTAAATCTTATCTCTAATTTCCTTTCAGACATTTATGGCCTCTGAAAGATCTCACCCTGACAACTAACCAGGTAAGAATTAGTCTTAAAAGCTATCCTTGGTATGCTACTGAAATGCAGTGGGACTATGTTGATGATGGAGCTTCACCTGCATTACTCAAGGGGCACCAACAACTACAGAGGGCACAAGGGACTCAGAAAAGCTAAACAAGAAATGTCACTGATGGTTCTGAAATATGTAATCCTGTCTCCTTTCCAGAGGCGCTCCCTTATCAAGGACAAGTGTTTCCTATCAGCTACCGAGTGCCTGCAGAAGCTGATGTAAGTCACCTTCCATAAACCTCCTATTGACAATTGGAGCTGATGAAGATTTCCTGTGTTCTGGGAAATCACGGAACTTTACACCTTTTTACAAAAGCAGATCTGGCCTAGGTTGCAAGTTTAAACAAGCTTGTAAAGATATTTAAAGAAAAAGTGTTTGTGGACTATTTTTTATTTTTTATTTATTTTTTTTTAATAATAATTTCTGCAGAGAAGATACTTTGTTTTGGGAAAGTCAGGACAATGTCTATTGTCTGTTGGCTCTTTCCCATTGACAGCACTACGGTGGATCCCCGGGAAAAGCTGGTGATCCTCCAGAAGACGTATGAGGAGATAGAGAGCACGGTGTCTCGAGTGGTTGAGAAGGACTACAAGCTCCCCATGGACGACCTGCTGCCGCTGTTGATGTATGTGGTCTCACGAGCAAAGTAAGTGAAAGTTTTTCATTTCCCATGCACACTGCGGTGTGTGATCTCGCTTGGAGAAAAAGCTGCTTTTCCAGGCAAAATGACTTTTCTGAAAACCTGGGATTGTGTTTTAACACTCTTTTTCTGAACAGTGTCTTCCAAGGAGAGATGCAAAAAACATTTCAGCAGAAGTGTTTGCCTTTAGTGGTTGGACTCTTCTCGTTGCTGGCCTTCCTGCAGGGACTAGGTGTTTTCATTCCCTTGTAGAGGGGTTCACAAGAGCCATAGTAAAGGCTTTTGGATTGGTTTTTGCCCTGTCTGGAGAGTGAAGTGGACAGTTTGACTCATTATTGATTTCTGACTTAAAGGAAATCACTCAATCTCTCTTTGCCTTTGTAACCTGTAGAGAAAACTCTTTATTTTGCATTCAGAAACTGTTCATTTTGGAGACTGGAAGGCCTTGAATGTGAAGCACCTAGTAATGAGATTCTTCCTGAGTAGAAATAGCTGTATAGGTAGCACATTTCTGCAAAGAGCAGTTGTGTCTATGCTGCTTTTACTAGAACTTGCAGGAACCTGTTGACATGCAATAAAGTGAAACTTTGTCCTTTTTTTCCTGGCAAATCTGTCTCAAAGTCCTTGAATAGCTTTTTGCATGTCTGTTTGGCGTCCAAAAAAGGGTGAAGTGGTGAAACTTGAGGCCTATCCTCAAAATCTAGAAGCTTTTTTTTTGTGTGTGTTGCACTCCTATCGGATGGATACTGGATTTTATATTAGAGAATATTCTGAACTGTAGATGATGGGGAAGGGCCATGAGTATGTGAAATGGAGGGGTATTTATTTTCCGATTCAAAATTCCGATTTAACAATTTCCAAACATCTTTGCTGAGATCAAGTCATACCAGATCTCAGGGTGATGAACTTCCAGATGTATGCATTCCCCTCTCCGTAATCCTATTTCAAACACAATCCCACAATTGCTGGTGCCCAGAGATGTGATAAATGGGTTATGACTGCTTTTTTTCCCCCAGAATACAGCACTTGGGAGCCGAAATCCATCTGATCAGAGACTTGATGGACCCCACCAATCAAGGAGGACTCTATGATTTTCTGCTAACAGCACTGGAGGTAAGGGAAAGTTTTTGATGGTGACATTTGCAAGACACAATAGGAAAGACTTAAAATAGTAGAAGGGAGAGGCAGGGAAAAAGGTTCTTTGTCCAAAGTTATTGTGGGATTTTCATTACTGAAGAGACCACCAGTAATACAATGGGGGATTTCAAAGGCAGTGTCCAGTTCTCTTGAGCAGGAATTCCAACATCAGTATGAGACTGGAAACCATCTAATATATGGAACGAAAGGATTATTTTGCAGTTAAAATTGTCCAGTCTGCAAGAATCTCCAGAGGGGAAGGACCAGGCTTCCCATGAGGGATCCAGGCAAATAGAGCAGCAAGTCATAACCTAAAGCCCTTTTGGAAATCACAAGGATATGGCAATATTTTGCTGATGTAGCAAAAGTAGCATTGAGACATTGATGCTCTCTACCCCCACGTCATATTAGACACTTCATATTAGAGGGATGTTTGCAGGGCTAACACAGAAGGTTATTTTCCTTCTAGTCCATTGACCACGCTCATCATTAACTTACAACATTGCGGATTCAGTCTTCTGTCCAGTCTAGGTGGGAGGCAGTAGAATTCCCCTAGACGTGCAAGAAACCAAAATTGGGCACAAAAGCATTGTCCTTAATGGATCGTTCTGTTCCTTGCCCAGTCGTGCTACGAACATATTCAGAGGATGCGGCTCCATCAGAGAGAGAACTGCCACGGGACTCACAGCCCCTGAACTGGGAGCCCACCGAGTCCACTCTCCCTCCTGCACTTTGCTGACCAGACACTGGTGGATGAAGAAGCAACCGAGTGGCTGCTGGTTTTGGTTGTCCTCTTGGAAAGGAAGAATGACTGTTTTTTCAGATGAGGGTTTCTGTGTCGTTATGGGAGCATGTGTTAGTCTCTGCTGAGATTTTCCTTCAGAAATTCTTCTCTTGGTGAACTTTGCCCATTTTTATTTTTATTTTTATTTTTATTTTTATTTTTATTTTTATTTTTATTTTTATTTTTATTTTTATTTTTATTTTTATTTTTATTTTTATTTT